TTTTTTTTTTGTTAAAATTGATATTGGAAGTCTTTCTTCAGTTTGTCGAAATATCTGTTCTCCTAGATATCTCAATCTTTTTGTTCTGGATATTTAAACTTTTTACGAATATTTGCATTTCAATTCAACTGGGCTATTCAAACTAGTGTTGAATCTCAAATCTGTATATATGAAATATGAGTTTGTTTTGATGCATTTTCAATCTTTATGAATCAATGTTTTACATTTGTTGTTCATTCGCCAATATTCAAGTTGAGAATATTGGATACACATCAGGTGTACATGTATCTGAGTTAAGATTATATGTATTTATGAGAAAGAATTTTGAATTTTTTTACTTTTTCTTGGAAAACTGATAAGACAGATACTCTACGGTCATGATTTGTTCCTAAAATGTGTGTGTTTCAGTTGCATTTTATAATTAGATCCACATGATCATATGTATATACTTAATATGTATCTGAGATACATGTTTTTGAATATAATGTATGAAATTGATACTTGATACATCAAATTAATACTAGATATGTGAAATTAAAACTAGATCATATAAATAGATACATGAAATTAATATTTGACACATATAACAAATACACGAAATTAATACTAGATACTTATCTGATACATATGAATGTACTTGTATAATACTCATGTATCTAAATATTTAGTTTGTTGAATACATTATATATTGATAATAAATACATCAAATTAATGAATTTATTATTTAAGAGTAAGAAATGAAATTAATCAAATTACATGACCAAGATATACATGTTTTTGTTTATTACTAATAATATAATGAATTTATTATTTCAAAGGATAATTTTGAAATTATAAATTGAAATTAATCAAATATAGATACACTCCTTGATTTCCGCCTTATAATAAGAGATTTGACTAATTTAAATTTTCAGAATTAATTATTCATGTATTATGTAAATCCTTAATTACTCCTCTAATTAAGGAATTTGGTTACAACCTATTAATTCAAACAAATAAAATACGTATCTCAGTTTAAAATTCATAGATACATGTATCTCCAGATTTAATCTCATGTATCCTAAGCATAAAAATATGGTAGAAGAATTAATATTTGAAACTATTGGGAATCTTAGTAATTAGAACCTAAACTAGTGGGATTTATGTAGTTTGCCCATTAAAGTAAGTAAATGAATGTAGTTAAGTAATTTGTCCATTTATATAAGTAAGGCCCATTCCGGGAATCGACCCTATTGGGCTAATGAGGCCCAACCCAATATTAAACAGTCGAAGAAATAGGCCTTATCACAATAAAGATTTTTAAAGGCCCAACATAAGCCCAATCATAAGAGGTGCTGAACATTGAAGGCCCAATATTTAGCCCAATCATTAGAAATCGAAAAAAGCTTGCAATTTATCGGAAAAAAATCACTTTTCTTTAATTAATAAGAATTTGTTTTTGAAATTCTCCCTTTATTCTTAATGAAATGATTTATAATCAGATATATAATTATTGATTTGTTTTTTATCATAAATCTCTCTTTTTTTTTTCTCTTAAACTTTACGATCAAATGATGTTATATAAATTAAGACGTGAGTAATTATGGGCTAAATCTAGTAAGACATAATTGCATATTTCATGCCTGGAAATAATGTCAAAAGCAGAGACGTATCCATGATTTTGAGATAATGGGAGCACTATTATAAAAAGGTTAATTGATGATATAAATTTGATCGGTTCGACATTGAAGTTTTTACTACTGAAAATCGTTAAAATTTTAAAATTAGAGGTCTAAAATTAATTATGATATATATATATATATATATATATATATATATATATATATATATATTTATTGATGAATTAATTAAAATGTCAAAAGTGCTACCAATTACCACTTAAAGAAGTGTTATCTAATTTTAGAAAGAAAAATAAAACAAGATAAATATAAAATTCAAATTTCTAACCTCGCGGATAGAGGTGCACTCAGTCATAATTGCATTATATAATACTTCAAGTGTGAATTCACACATCTATATTTTAATATTTTTTTAAAAATATAACACTATTATATATAATTTTGAGAGGGGACCATGGGTTCACGTGAACCCGGTGACCTCCCTTAGATAATCCCGTGGTCAAAAGGTCCTTTTATCAAATAATCTAAGTTCTATGTATTTAATCACTTTTAAAGACATGTACTTGATGGTTTTTGTCCACATATATAATTGTAGTTTAATTTGAATATGATAAGGCCACGTGTTCATGCAAATTATAGAAGGCTAGGATTGTTTCCTCCACTTTAATTTCTTCCATTATTAACCATATATGCAAAAAAATAAATTTTTTTATGACATTAATTATTAAAAATACTCTAAAAAATCTTAGTAGTTTAGTTGGTTTGTATTTTTCCTTCACCTACCCCAATTTTTTTTTAAAAATAAAAATTAAAATATTACTAAAATACTCCTACTAGACTGATGACCCAAACAATACTCCATTCAAGTTTCTAATAGTACTTATTATGTTTGACTTTTTTCCACCTATAGTTTGGATTTATTAAGAGACCAATCAACCTATGAAGGGATAAACTTATCTATTTTTCATAGACTAAAGAAACCAAAACTTGGGATTTCTTTTTTCGTTTTGGAATCTTCTGGGAAATTAGTGTGAGCTCAATTGAGAAGACGTTAATTAGTAGAGGGAATTGATTTGTGATATTTTTTGTTAGATTCCTTCTATTGCACTAACTCAGATATCTTTAAAATTTCAACTTGAAATATTGCTTTTCGAAGGGTTTAAGATTTAAAATTATGCCCAAAATCATCAAACACCTATTAATAGTTATTGTTTTTTTAGTTTTCCAACCAGTGTCCAATATACACATCAAAGTCTAACTAATCAGACAAATCGCTTAGCGGCCCTTTCATCTTTGGCGTCAGAATGCTCGATCAATGAGCTATTACACTCTTTTGCATCTAGGCAAACCTCTTGGTTGTCTCTTCAATCATAATAACATTCACAAATAATATTCTACTCCCTCTGTCGCAATTTATATGACTCACTTTTTTTTTAGTTAGTTTTAAAAAGAATGAAACATTTCTATATTAAATAACAATTTAACTTTAAAATGTTTATTTTACCCTTGATGAAATTATTTATAGTCACACAAGTTTCTATCATTCATTTTAGATCACAAGTTTTAAAAGTCTTTCTTTACTTTTAAACTCTGTGCCGAATCAAACTGCGTATCTCACATAAAATGGGACGGAGGGAGTAACATATTAGAGTAGAATCGAACATGGAAATTTTAAGGGAAAAGGCTCAAAAATGCCCTTAACCTATTAGAAATGGTTCAAAAATGCCCTCCTTCCACCTAATGGTTTAGAAATGGCCTTAACGTTTTCTTTAGGTTCAAAAATGTCCTTTAGTTAACAGAAATATGACATGGAATTTTACTAAACAAGTGGTCAATTTTCATTGGTCCACATAGTTTTTTTAATTTTTATCAAATAAAAATAACCCCACCCAAACCCAAACCCAAACCCGTTTCTGATTAACCTAATCATGCTTTTGTATCTTTTATTCCTTGAGTGATTGTGTTTTTTTTTTTTTATTTCCGAAATTGGAGAATTAAGATTTGTATAATATCGGAATATGGAATGAAAGAATGAGTGAGGCGAGGATTGGGATGATGAAGCAAAAGACAACTCGGGTGCCTCTAGGAACACTAATTGGTCGGGAGTTGAGGGATGATAATGTCGAGCTACATTAATTGACTGTGGTATAGCTACATTATCAGTTTTTTTTGTATGAATATTGGTTTCTCTTGAATAGATTTTAAATCATAATGGTATATTGGTTGCTATCTTTGGTAAAGAAAATCAATTAAACAATGTCTTGAGTGCTATCCCTCCAGGAATTGGTAGGGAACAATAGCTTTAGCATTTTCTCAAGCACTAGTTGCAATTTTTGTAAAAACTAATGCAGAGTTTCAGCAAAAAGCTAAGCTGCAATCTCTGGTTTTAATATTTTTTTTTGCCAGAAAACGAGTTTAGGTTTGGGTTTGGTGGGTCTTTTTATTTGATAAAAGAATTGTGGACCAATGAAAATTGGCCATGTGTTTAGTAAAATTCCATGTCATATTTCTGTTAATTAAAGGGCATTTTTGAACCTAAAGAAAACATTAAGGGCATTTCTAAACCACTAGATGAAAGGAGGGCATTTTTGAACCATTTCTAATAGGTTAAGGGTATTTTTGAGCCTTTTCCCAAATTTTAATAACACTAAAAATGGGCACCTAATTCTAAGGAAACACTTCGTACCACAAATTTTTCTATACTGAAAATTCAAATTTGAGACTTTTTATCAAGAAAAAAATAACTTCATCAACCTGCATCTATGATGCTACTAATAGTAGTTACTATAAGTAATCCTGGCAAGTGTCAAGTTGAGCAAATGTGGCAAATGAGAGATTAAAATATGTCCCCTTTTTACCATAAAAAGTAAAGCTGCACATTCCATATTTTGATGTAACAATAGCATCCAACCACTCCCTCTCTCTCTCTAGGTTTCAATTGGTGGAGTTCTCCAATAATATCTTCCAACATAAAATTAAAAAAATTCCTCTTTCTTTTTGTTTTTTCTCTTCAATTCCAAGAACAACAAGTGAATAGTGCTTATTCCATCTCCAAAATTAGGTCTACACATTTATATACTCAATTATTGGTCCATTTTTATAGGGTTTTCTAACTAGACTAGATCTGAGGTTTTCCTCTTTAATTAGGGTTTTCTTATAATTTCTTACTATTTATATCTTTTGTGATAGTTTGTAAGATTTCTTGAAGGTCTGAAGAAAGATAATAGTTATCATCTAATAACACGGCTTCTCAACAAGTAAGAATAAGATCTGTGTACATTCTACTCTTTTCAGATTCTACTTATGAAATTATACTGTTATGATTGTAAATATAGTGAATTTTGGTGATATATAAACTAATTTTTTTAAATTTTTTTTTGAAGGATGGCAAGGGAGAAGATAAAAATAAAGAAGATAGATAATATAACAGCAAGACAAGTGACATTTTCAAAGAGGAGAAGAGGGCTTTTTAAGAAAGCTGAAGAGCTTTCTGTTCTTTGTGATGCTGATGTTGCTCTTATCATTTTCTCTGCTACTGGAAAGCTATTTGATTTTGCTAGCACCAGGTAAAATCTCGAGATAAAATGAAGGATTATTTTATGCGTGTTTAGTTATGAGTATTTAAGTAGTTTTACGATTATTATCCTATCATTAATATAAACTAAGGGGTGTTTGGTTGGGGAATTAGTTATTACAGGGTTGTTATTCCACTATCAATATGGAATAAAAATAATTTTATAATTTCGAAATTAGTTATCTAACTTTAGAAGATGAGATTAGCTATCCCGAAATATCATTTTCGACAATGATGTTAAATATAATCAAATATTTGGGTTTGTAGGATGTTTCGAAGGAGCTAGGGGGTGTAAGCTAAGGTGTTTATTTGTTTGGTGGCCTAATTTATTTGTGTTACTTTTTTTGTTTTAATCTATTTATTAAAAAAAAATGTAAATTTTTATATTTTGTATTCCTTTCGTCTAACAAAATAAGGGTCATTTTGGTAAAAAAAAAATATTGTCCAAAAAAGAATGATCATTTTAGGAATTTAAGACAATGATTAGTTAGTAAATGTTTTCAACTATACCTTTATATATATTAAAGAACCACTAACTTGTTCTTAACAGTGATTAATTTTAAAACATCTAATTATTGGAGTAATTTATATATATACGGATAACTCAATAAATAATACGTTGTGTTAATTGTTTTTCATAATGAATGTGAAAAAGGCTAAAACAGATGTAGGGAGTAATTCTTACGCCCAATATCCTACGTGGTATATTTTAGACTACAAGACTCAATCAATATTTAGGTACATTAAACACAAATATGTAGCTTAAGATCACATGATTTAAAAACAATATGAACTTCGTTTCAACTCAACAAATTAAATTGAAACAAAAGAGAATACGTTGAATTCCTTTACTTCTTCGTATTTGATTTGTTATTAGTGAAAAAGTTAGCTCCATCATTAATAAGATCATACATTATCTATACCTCGTGAATTAAGAGTGCACACTTTACGATAATAACATAATATTCAATCGAGTTTGAGAATGATAGAATATACACAAATTTTACCTTTATTTTTGTAAGATAGAAAAATTATTTTCGATCGGGATAAAGATTTGTCTGGTTTGTTGTAACAAGAGGAGCAAAGAAGGGTATTTCTACCATGGCAAAGACGAAACGAATAAACTGTAGTTTCATAGGGTTTCTTCAAACAAGAAAACCTCGTGTCTCACATTTAATTACCCCTTTTTGTTATTTATGTCCTAAAAAACAGTGAATTAATTAGAAACCCTAGGAAATTTACTTCTGTTTTTGATCATCTAGATACTTCTTTATTATGTAAAATATATACTCTTTTTGTTCATTTTTACTTGTCCATTTTGGATTTTATATTTGAGTATTTTATTACAATATTCATATTAATTGATGTATAATTTCAGATCTTGAAAAAATGATTTGTGGAATAAGTTTGTCTCATTTTATGTGACACTGCTTAACTTGATCTAATGTTTAATAGAAAAAGACTTTTTTTTGAAATTTGTAATCTAAGACAATTGTTAGATGTATTTGTGTAGTTGTATATAATTTCATAAAACAAGGAATTTTAAAGTTAAATTATTTTTAATTATAGTAAAGTTATATTCTTTTTTGGGACGAATTGAAAATGAAAGGTTACTACATAAAATAAGAGTATTTTAATTGTCATATTTCGCTTTTCGATGGTCAAATTATATCAACTTTGATCTACACCAACTTTTAAAATTTTAAATGAAGTGATTTTTTTTTTAATGGGCAAATGCCTACTAAGTTAATTATACTATTTTTATAAACCTATTAATTTTTTTTGATAAAATTACCTAGAAAGTTGATTTTGTAAATAATCAAGTGGTTTACTCCCGACAACATTTAAATTTAGTGTCAGTAATCCTTGTTTAGTCAAATCATTCAATTTCAACAGTCATTTATTTACTGGCTAAGACAAGATATGTCAATTACTACTAGTACAAATGGGAGGGCAAGAATTAAAGGATTTTGCTGCTACAATTATAACTTATTTCCCAATTAGGAACTAACTAATGATATGACAAATACTTACCGATCAGATATTTATATCAAATTAATTTATTTATTATATTTAAATAATTTAATAGATATAAATATATGTATTAAGTAACAAAGTTTGTGGTGGAGTGATGATAAGTATTTCTTCATTCTCAATCAGAAATTTCGAGTTCGAAATCTCTTTTTATGAAGTTGGCTTAGTTAGAGAGCGGATTACCTCAAATTTTCCGATGCGAATTCAGACAATTCTTATCTCACAAGTTAGTTTTTTTAAGTTGAGTTGGAATCAAATTCATTTTTTTAATCATGTCATCAAAATCAGACCTATCCAAATTTATAATTTATTTTACACATCATACTCTTGTCTTAAATTGTGCACAATCCAGACGTTCAATTTTTGAGTTGTTTAGTTGGTGGGTGATAGGTAATTTTTTTTCATTGTTTTAATTTAGGCAATCCTCACCTTATCCAAAACTAGAACTAGCGTTTGGGATCAAGTTAGATTCAAGATTATTTATAATATATATTGATTAAGACTTGAATTAATTAACAGAATAATTAGTTTTCTTGTTTATAAATGCAGCATGAAGGATATTCTTGGAAAGTATAAGTTGCAGTCTGCTAGCCTTGAGAAAGTTGACGAACCTTCCCTTGATTTACAGGTAGTAATTATATATACTTTATACTAAATTAATAAGTAAAATATAAGAGCATTGTTAATTTTATTATGCTCATAAATATATTTTATGAGTAACCAATGGTTATTTAAATTAGTGAAGTTAATTATCTTAATTAGCTGAAGTGAAAATACATATCTCTTGCTCCATCTCTCTCAAATTATTAAATTATTTATCGTGAAATAATTCTAAAATTGTTATCTCAAATTATTTGTCATTTAAAAAGTTTAAGATAAAGTTGATTATTTTTTTCATTTTAATGTTAATAGTTTTTTTTTTTTTGAAGACTACAAATACTTCAATGATATATTTAATGAAAAGAGATTATATCTTAAGACATAAATGAGAGTATATTCAATAAATGTACACGTGAAAGAGAAATAACGACATATAAATTGAGGCAGAAAAAATATAAACTATATATGATCTAATGACAAATGTATAAGTAAATAAATATATTTATTTTTGTATTTATTAATTTGATGTAAACACTCCACTTAATTAAGTTTCTACAAAATATTAAGTAGGCTATAATTACATCTACTTAATTAATTAAACTGCATATATATTTATTTATTAACCTTTTTATTGCTTATATATCATCATTTTATAGCTAGAGAATAGCCTCAACATGAGATTAAGCAAGCAGGTAGCTGATAAAACTCGTGAGCTCAGGTACCTATATAATTCTTTTCTTAATAATTGTGTCTACGTTAACTTGCACGCACCTCAATTTTTACTATCATAAATATCAAATAATTTTGCTTATATATATACTACCTAGAAATTTTTGATAGCGCTTAGATTTGAACGCTGTCGATCTTTGACCTTCAAGTAATTTTTATCTTACTTCATCAACTGCTAAATTACACATCTGCCTCAACTTTCACGAATTGGTATTATTGGGCAACTCTTTCTATCGAAACTTGGGTATCAATTTTTGTCATTGCGTAGATTTAAAAGTGGTCGATATCCGATCTCTTATAATTTTTATCTTGCTCCATTAACCGTTCAACTACATGTGCACCTCAATTTCCACTATAATATTATTCGATAACTTTATCGATCAAAGCTTAGGAATATGAAAAATTTATTACCTAGCATACTTTCTTTGTTATTACTTAGATTTGGATGTTGTCTCTGATCTCTCATGATTTTTATCTTTACTTCATTAACTGTTTAGCCATATATTATACCATTGAGTAAATCATCCTCCCAACACTAAAGAAAAAAGAAAAAAAAATCTCTGATTAATATATTCAAAATAGTCTTAATTAAATTTAAAGTAGTTGCTCATCGAGCCTCAAAATGAAAATTCAGGTCCCTACCCAACTTGTTATTAATATGAATATATTTCCTTGGCTTTATAATTGATAGCCTTTTAAATTCGTTATTAAATTTCATTTAGATATTCGAATAACGATTTGATTTAAATAAGCACTTGAACAAGACAAAAATGTTCATATTTGACACTTTCCGTTCAAATTTTGAAATAAATAAATAAATTAACACGTGTTCTCAAGCGTCTATTAGGTAGTTATGTTAACTACATAAAATATGTCATCTCTTTTAATTATACACATCAGCCTTAAGTGGAACAAGCCTTTGGTTTTACAGCTATTGATGCTAAAGCATATAATTTAAAAGGACGATATATTTTAATTGGTTAACTTATCTACGTAGCGAACACTTGAAAATACACACGATTATCCCCCCCCCCCAATTTTTTTTTTTATACTTATTGATATTTGTGTATGTATATGTAAATCAGGCAGATGAGAGGTGAGGAACTTGAAGGATTGAGTTTAGAAGAATTACAACAAATTGAGAAAAGACTTGAAGCTGGTTTCAACCGTGTGCTTGAGATTAAGGTTTCATAATTTTTGTTAAAAGAAATTATAATACTTTTATGCTAATTAAATAAACTTCTGATATCCTAACTTTTTTTTAAATCTCAGGGTACACGAATTATGGATGAAATTACCAACCTTCAAAGAAAGGTTTGTACGATACTTTTACTAAAACGGGATCAATGCCCAAAGTATCCTGCATTCATGTATGATCAAAAAAATATTGTTGCACCTCGAGAGGGTGTAATGTAGGTCACGTACCTTAACACAAGCATCAATATTATCCCATGATTCAAATTCGTGACCTACCACAAACATCCCATTAGAATTTGACTCGTTGGTAAAAGTTTTCAATAGAAAAAGCCATAAAAAATATTACTCACAAGTCACAAGACAATTTGAAATTAGCGATTTTTCAATAGTGAAAAAAATAACTATTCGTTGCTCCAAAGCTTCCCTTCAGAAAACCATTCTTGACTAATCTTTTCTTTTTTTGTCATTTTTTGACTCATGAAATCTTTTCAGGGTGCTGAGCTGATGGAAGAAAACAAACAATTGAAACACAAAGTAATTAAAATCCCCTTTAGAATTAATAAGCTTTTATGTACAATTTTTTTTTTTTTAGTAATTAGTGTTAATTAAATTGAGTAATTTTCATCATATTCTAATAGTGCTTATCTATAGATATGTATTATTTTAATTGTGCTATTTAGATGGAAATTATGAAGAAAGGGAAGTTGCCCTTACTGACTGACATGGTGATGGAAGAAGGCCAATCATCTGAGTCTATAATTACAACCAATAATCCTGATCAAGATGACTCCTCAAATGCATCTTTGAAGTTAGGGTAAGCTTGCTTATACTCTTACTTAAAAGAGTTTTAACTTATTAGATAATTATGTGGCGTAGTTTCAGCTCTCCGAGGACATGACCCTTAATAGGATAGTGTGGAGATTGAGAATTAGGATAGATAGTTAGTAGGTAGTTAGCCGTTTTTTATTTTCCTTTCTATGTGTATATGTACTCCCTCCGATCTGTTTCAGTTTGATTGTCTAGTTTTGACTTGGAAGGAAGTTTAAAAAAGTAAAGAAGACTTTCAAATTTAGTGGTCTTAAATTAAAGATATGTTTAACGTAACAAAATGCTTTTTAATTTTGTGGTCTTTACATATCATGTGGAAAGTTAGAATTAAAGAGTTGCTAAAAATGAGAATATGTTGATTTGTTTTAGACTAAATAGCAAAGTAAGACGAATAAATTGAAACAGACAGGAGAATGTTTCTTGTTTTCATTATTTTTAGATTTCAATTTTACTACCTGTTGTTCCTTATAGCTTGGGTTACTTTATTATCTTGTTGTTTTTACTTGTTGCTACTGCTTCTATAAGTCAATTGGTCTATCAAAAACAATTTTTCTATCTTTTTAAGATAAAGGTCCGCATATACTCTACCTTTCTTAAACCTGACTTGTGGAATTACAATATATTTATTAGTGTTTGTATAATACAAATGAGGTAAAGAATTTTGCTACCATCAACCAGGGGCGGAAGCAGTATAATGAGGGGGTTCGGAAGAACCCCCTCGGCGAAAAATATTACTATTTATATTTGGTTAAAATTATTTTTTAGGAATGTATAATAGATGTCGAACCCCCTTCCACTAGTTTGTGTGTTTACTTCTCAGATTTTGAACCCCTTTATTAAAATTTCTGGCTCCGCCACTGCCATCAATCTAAGTTAACTTGTTATATAACATGTTTATTGATCTTATATTCTAGGTTACAAGTTCCACTAATTACTATATGGATATTTACTTATTGTTATCTTTTGTTTATGTTGTTAACAGTGGTACTACTGCAGTTGAAGATGATTGCTCAATTACATCTTTAAAGTTAGGGTAAGATTTGTTTATATCCTTCATAGAAATGTATATATATACACCTACTCCTATCGTCTCAATTTATACGATGTAGTTTGACTTAATTATTATAGAGTTTAAGAAAGACTTTTGAAACTTATCGTCTAAAATAAGTCATATAGATGTTTGTATGTCTATAAATTATTTCATTAGGGTAAAATAAACATTTAAAGTTAAACTGTTATCATATTTATTGGAAATTACTAAAAAATACAAATTGAAACAGAAAATATTGCAGGCATTTTGATTATTTTTTTTTTGGTCAGGTCCATTTTGATTACATATGTTCATTATTATGGGGTCTACAATTAATTAAATTTGCTATTTATTGATCAGGCTACCATTCAGCTAGCAAACTCAAATGGGGGAGCTTTTGTTGAAGATTGTACTAATAATAATTTTTGGATGAAAACAATGAGTGGCATAATATATTTGCCTTTTTTTGGAAAAATATACATTGGAATATAATTGTCACTGCTTCTACTATGTTATTGTATGTATGTGGACAACTTGGCAAAGGGCATAATGCAGATTTATTAACCATCTCATTTTGGGTCTTGTGAGGGGATTTCTATAATATAATCTATGAGTTTACGTGAACTGAATAATTTCTTATTAAAATCAGCATATTTATATGGAGAAAGATACTCATGAGATATTTATAGATATTTGACTATGAAATCAACTATCATAGAAATATTATATTGAAATCGTTGAAAAAAGTCATAAACTTTCAAATCTTGAATCCGTATTTAATTCTTGTTTATTCGATTGAGCTTTTAGCACTAGTGCACCGGGGAGGAGCTAGTGTATAAGGTATTAGTTAGGTCAAATTTAATACATGTGGTTCATAATTTTTATTTGTCTTAAGAAATACACTTAATATGTACAAATTATTGATTTAGAATTCAATAACTTTAATAGGATAGAAAACATAAATTTTAAATCTTCACACTCCGGTTCTACTAAAGCTATATACCATCTCAAATAACTACAAAAGTAAGCAAATTCATCCATTTTATTGAAGTTTAGGTGGCATATATGACTGAACTTCAGTCATTTCTACGTAAAGTTCGTTATATCATGTAGATATGTGGCTGAACTTCAACTATTTGTATATCGCAACTTAGTGTGATATTACTTATGGGAAATATAGTAATTCATAAGAAATACACATTGGCATCTTACAATAAAAAGATCTAAAATTCAAAATAGAAAAGTAGTTGGTTATGAATGCAAAATAGTTAACAAGTGGCTACGCCTTAAATGGACTGTAGAAATTGGCTACTCTTGTAAAATTACTTCATGAAAAGCCCAAATATTTTAGCCCAAACAGATCAGCCATGATCACGGAACGAGTTAACTGAAAAGTATTTACAGATCGGTAAGTACGACGGCGACGGTGACAGCACCGGCACGATGAACTACGTCCGGCAGACTCCGACGAGTCGGAGAATGGCATGGCCGCTGCAAATGGGTGGACTTTTGATGCTTCTTTTACCAAGTCTGTTTCCCAGTCTCTTCTCTCCTCTTAGCCGCTCTTATCCTTCCGTTTTCTCTGTAAGTTCTCTTTCCTTCTCCATTTTCAGCCGTAACACTACCTTGTGAAGATAGAGAAGTTGTTTCTGAAGATCAATCAGTTAGTATTAGAGTGAAATGTGTTGAATTTAATGAAATGAAAACAGACAATTCATGTAGCTGATTCGGATTAAATTGGGATTGAGACGTAGTTGATTGGTTAATGCGTGTGTACTATGTTGCTCGAACTCTTCAAAAATGTTCATGGTTGCATGTTGGATACTCCAAAAGTAGTGCATTTTTTAAGGATCCGACAGGGATGCAGCAATATTTTGGGAGTCCAAGCAACATAGCCTGTGTGCAAATGCATTGTGGAAGACCAGACATATTTGAAAATGAATTTGTTGAGTAGCTAATACTAGCTTATGATATAGTAGAAATCATAATTTGGTTGGTTGATTCTGAGCTCTACTCTATTTAAGTTTTTCTGGTTGGTATTTTAATTGGATGTGTTGTACTAGTTGATCATTGGAACTAGAGGAGAATTGGTTTTGTAGGCCATTTTCTTAGTTTGATGTCCTTTTTACTATGGATCTTCATTTTTACACGTAAGAGATTTCCAGGTGTTCATGATTCATGTGCACCCTGACTTCTTTTGAACACTGTACCTGCTCCAACTTTTAGGAAAATCCAGTTCTTTTATTAGTTTACTCATGCAATTTGTAGGAATGGAATGCTCCAAGGCCTATGCACTCACATTTACTAAACAGGGCTTTGCAACAACAGACGGTGAGTAGAGTTGCCACTTCATTTGTTTTTGGCTATAAGATTGTTATGGAAGTTTTGGGACCATATATTCAAAATGTTTAGTAATTTAGTACCTTTCAGTCCAAAGCTCAAGAAGCAGAACTCTGGTCTCCCTTGCCTAACCAGGGATGGGAAGCCTGTGCTGATAAACAGGATACTCAATGTGAGTGTTGTACCCATGCTATTGTATCTTTCCTCTGCGTTATGAAGGGGATTCTGATTAGTATATTCTGTGTTCTAACCTTTCTTTAATTGCATATGTTCTGTAGCATTGGGTAGGAAGTCCCAGGGGTACATACAGGTGTTTTTGGATGGAGGACTGAACCAACAGAGAATGGGGGTATGTAAGTTTCAGTTATGATATTGGTTACTTTCTAGATTGTTGATGTGTATTACTTTAGGGGAACTTTAGTCTCATGAATGATTTATTTGTTGTTTACTTGCTCCCATGATAGATCTGTGATGCAGTAGCTGTTGCCAAAATTTTAAATGCAACACTTGTAATTCCGTATCTTGAAGTAAATCCAGTTTGGCAGGACTCGAGGTATTTAGTGTCAGCCATTGCAGCACCCATTCTCTACGTACTTATAAAGTTTTATGTGAGGTGCCCTTTTCTGGATTGATACTGCTTATGTGAAGTGCTTTTCACAGTTCCTTTGCAGATATATTTGATGTTGATCACTTTATCAGTGCCTTGAGTAATGATATTTCAATAGTTAAAGAGCTTCCCAGTGACTACTCCTGGAGTACCAGAGAATACTATGCAACAGGCATACGCGCTACTAGAATTAAGACAGCGCCTGTACATGCTTCTGCTTCATGGTACCTGGAGAATGTTCTGCCTGTAATGCAGAGGTACTACTGAAATATAAACCTCTTTTTTGAGATTTATACTGAATTACTGACCAAGTATTCATGTCGTTTCACTTGAAATATGTCCTACTTCTGAAAAGTTTTGTTTTTCACTAGGCATGATGGTCATATTTGATGCAAGTGACTTGACATTCATTCATTTCTTTATGCGTGTTGCTTCCATGTTAAATGAGTTGCAACTATCAATTTGACATTTAAGTATTTTTTGATCATTTTCAATAGTATCATGTTCCCTCAATTGAAGTGTCATTCACAGTTCATTTTTTTTCTAGTCATAGCACTAAAATAGACGCATTTGTAACTTTTTTTTATGGTCAGATATACACAATATTGGAGTTATCAGAAACTATCAAATCCTCTCAGAGATGTGAGATCAAGTAATCAAAATGGACTCAACATTTACTTGGTCTCTGAGAGATCGACATTAACAACCTCATCCCTCCCCCTTGGGCAACGGGAAGGTTAAAAGGAAAAAAGAAAGAAAATAACGGAAATGTCGGTCACTTGCATCAACAAAGCAATATTAGATCAACACATAAAGACAGTCATTGCCTGTGTTTATAGATTTTCAGTTTCGCCAGCTAACACATTACACAGTGGTCATTACCAGATGCATTTTTGTAGGCTTGATTTAACTGGGACACTCTGCTTTCAACAATTGAAACATAGTACGAAGTTCGCTTTGTATGATAAATCCTTAACTCACAACATGACTACTTTGCTTTCTTTCTTCCAGCTATGGGATCGCAGCTATAGCTCCATTCTCTCACCGTTTGGCTTTTGATAGCCAACCTTCAGACATCCAGCATCTGCGCTGTAAGGTCAACTTTCACGCGCTAGTTTTTGTTCCCCATGTCAGAACGTTAGGCGATGCACTCGTCAGTCATCTGCGTAGCCCTCCTAGTTCGGATAACGCATCAAGTGCTACACACTTCCACAAAGGGGAAAATGACAGAGCAGGAGCTGGAAAGTATGTTGTATTGCATCTTCGCTTTGATAAAGTATGATTATCTTCTACCTTGCTGACTCAATTCCATTCTTACAATCATAGTCTATGTTGAAGTGGAGTGTGTTATGGGATCTTTGGTACAACTATGAGGGCATAGTACTGGGCATAGTACTGTATCAGTGAGTTTTATGTAAATTTTCCATGTCTATGTTAGTGAAAAGACACCATTATGTGAAGGTTTAGTAAACTAAAGGCGATCTACAATAATTATCTGTCAGCCAACTTTGGGTAACTGGGCCTGTAAATGTCTCCAAGTTAAGAAAGTTAAAGCCCGTCTTGTTTCACTAGAATTCACTTGGATACCTTCGATTTTGATCCATCCCCATCCATTAATGGCGACAAATAAAATAGCTTTTGTGCAAGACGAGGATTTGTCGTTTAATGCATTTGGGTATTAATTGTCTGGAGAACTACTTTTAAACAGGATATGGCTGCTCACTCAGCTTGTGATTTTGGTGGGGGCAAAGCTGAGAAACTTGCTCTTGCAAAATATCGGCAAGTACTTTGGCAAGGGAGAGTGCTTAACTCCCAGTTCACAGATGAAGAGTTAAGAGGCCAAGGGCGTTGTCCATTAACTCCGGAAGAGATAGGACTCCTTTTGTCAGCCTTGGGATTTAACAACAGCACACGCCTATATCTTGCTTCCCACAAGGTATCATAACTATGATACTTATTTCTTAGAAAGAATGATGTGTTTCATTGTCAACAACAGCTTAAGCACTCTCTGGACTTTATTCTCATCAGGTTTACGGTGGAGAAGCAAGGATATCAGCTCTTCGCCAGTTATTTCCATTTATGGAGGACAAGAAAAGCCTTGCTTCTTCTCATGAACTATCTGAAGTAGAAGGAAAGGCTTCTTTACTAGCAGCTGTGGATTATTATGTGAGCATGCAGAGTGATATATTCATCTCTGCCTCTCCCGGCAACATGCACAATGCACTGGTAACTAAATTGTATATCAGAATGTCCGATTAATTATTCTAGTCTAGTCTGTTTTAGTCTTGATTATGCTTTGAGAACTAACCATGGGGCGGGATTTGTCAACTCTCAGTTGGGGCATCGAGCATACAAGAATCTTAAGACTATTAGACCAAACATGACATTGTTAGGCAAGCTCTTCCTGAACAAGACTATTGAGTGGTCTGAATTTCAGCAGGCAGTACAGCAGGGTCACAAGAATAGACAAGGACAAATGCGGATACGCAAGGAAAAGCAGTCTATATATACTTACCCTGCTCCTGATTGCATGTGTAAAGCTTAATTTAACACCACTTTGGAGGTTGTGATTTGATCAGACGTGATATTTACGTGTATATTTTGTTATATTTTTGTATTCTAGGATCTTTAGTTGACCATGTTCAGAATACAGCACCATATGATCAAATTCCATATT